AACCCCACGATCATCTCTAAAACTCTGATTTGCAGATACCATTGGGTCTGTTTTACAATTCTAAAATAGAGGGCAAAACATGTGCAAAGCACAATATATGTTCTATATATAACTCATAGGTGTTTAAAACGAATAGAACACACGAGCAGCGTTGTATCCGTGTAAAACATCTATGTCTAATATGCGGGTAAGACAGTAGCATTTTCTACTAGAAGACTAACTATTATTTACCCGTATAGCTGACTGTATAGTCAGTAAACTATTTTATATCTCAACTTAATCTTTTTGACTGACCACGTCTTTTCAACGGATATCAAAACCAGTCTGATTCGAGAGAGTAAGAGAGCCCCGTCCACGAAATTATCAAAACACCTCTGGTATACTTTGTTACTGAGCATCGCTTCGGGTCAATTTCGTACACTGCTGATTTCAAATTACGGTTGAAACTTTTGAGAGTGTAGCTCAGCATTCACTAATTGCAAACACCCTACACTTATAACATATTGTGCGATACGAATCGACGCGGTCAAACTCGACGAATAATGTGTCCGTCTAAGTACGAAATTAGATAACGTTTAAGTCCGAATTAGTACTTAGTACAAACCCCGAGTCACATTTTTTGGAACTGGCCTCGATCGGCAAGTTTGGTCGTAATTTACAAAATTTAGAGGTGACGTTGAGTCACGCTAGTGATTCCCGCGGGACGTCTACGCCATTTCCCGGCCAAAGTGCCAACGTTGCCAAGCAAAGTGCAAACGAAAAAAGACAGGGAAATTTCAAGTGAACAAAAAAATGCTTTTTTCAGCTTTTGCAAAAACGATGGGTACACTTTCCAAGCAAAAAGCAAACTCGAAGTTACGCACCCAGCTCCATGTCGAAGCCCCTTTCTGCAGCGAAGCACTGACGCAGGCAGTGCCTCTCGTAGCGCCAGATGAGTCGGCGCGTAATAACACCCTTGCAGGCTTCCACTGCGTCTTTCATCAGCGCCAATCTGTGTGCCGCAAAGGAGTCATATTCCCCACGCATCAGAAACTCCTGCTTTCGTTCCGCCATAAAACGGCGCATCTTGGCCTTTAAGGAATTCCAGCACCCCTCAATGGGGTTCAGCATTGGGCTGTAGGGTCCCAGACGCAGTACCTCGAGCTTGTTCAGGTTCATGATGCCGTCGGCAGCCACGTATTCTCGAGCAAGGTTCTCGACGTCGCTGTGGGGTGGTGCGTTGTCCGTGGCAATCACAACCTTGGCCGGTTGAAGCTCCACGTACTCCTCGGAGCGAAGAGCAGCAATGAAGAGGTCCGCCATGAACCTTGCATTCTCAGCCTTCTTTACGGACCCTTCGTGGATTTGCAGCAGAACCAGACCGGAGCCACTTGAAACTCCTCCTTGGATGTGGAGGTTCTTGCCTTTGGAAGGCGGCAGTTGGACAACGGCACGTTCTCCAACCCGAGACCAGCCCTCATTTCGAGACAGGTACAGATTAAAATTAGTTTCATCTTGAAATACAATCATGTTACCTTTCTCAATGTGCTTGTTTAACTCCACGACAAAGTTCTTGCGCTTCTCCTTGTTGGCAGCTGAGTTCATGGTCGTCTTCTCGATGCGT